GTGAGCGACCGCCGCTGGCACTGCGGGCGCGGGGTGCTGCCCCGAGCAGCGCTGGTTGACAGCACTGTGTTTTTAGCAGCCTGGGTTCTGGCACGCCGTGCCTGTGAACCCTTGCTTAAAACACCCAAATACCGGCACGGAGTGGAAGCGTTCTCTCGGCGAGCACGCAGCTATTTTGGGTTTGCTTCCCTTGTAGTTATTCCTTGACAGAGCCTGGGATGCGATTCCCCTGACCTTTAACTCTAACTTTCTAATGCTTTTGTTAGCAGCGTTTTACTGATGCTCGTCACGCTCCTTCCCTCTCCCCCTTCCTCCAGTTGTATAGATAAGGACTGGTAATTGTCTTTATGGAGGTTGTAATGAGTTCTGTCACCACACAAAGAAGCTCACTAATAAAATAAATCAAAGCAGCAATGAATGAATGGAAAGCATGCTTTTAAAATTAGATTTGTACTGCAAGTGCCACACTGTCACTTGCAGCATGAGACAATACTAAAAAGGCACTGAGTTGGCCAGGTACCTCGGAAGGGTCACTGAGCTCTGCTAGCAGGAATTAGGCAGCTTTGCACTGCCTCCACGCAGCACTGGGAATCGCAGCGCTGTTTGGGAGTGAATATTTTAAAGCACGATGAGGAAAAGAGCACGTAAAACTGATCTTAGATTTGACTTGTTCGGTAACTCCGTTAAGAAGCTTTTCTTACCGCATCATCACACGTTTACGTAACGTCATCTTCTGTGCTTGAGCCTGGCACCAGCTCTTGGCCCAAAGCATCACCAGGTCTGTCCAGCTTCCCGTCCCCCGCCTCTCCCGTAACCAGCAGTAGCTCAGTGCTGTCTGCTGCTGCTTCACCAGATCTGCAGTGCAAGCCAGTGCTCTCCTCTCCGGCTGCAGATTGACTGCAGGCTCTGCTCCTCACGGGAGCTGTGTCTCCGGAGAGGAGTACTCAGGGGCCTGGCTGCAAGCCTTCCCGTAGGGATCAAGGGCAGCTAAGCCGTCCTGTGGGCAGGCAGCGAGGACATGAGCTGGTGTTTCCGTTCAGGCCTGCGTTACAGTACCATGCAGCCGCTGCTGGATCGACAGGGCGTTAGTGGCGCGGAGGGCAGCGCGCAGGGTAAGGATACGGGTTGTTGAGGGGTGGTGTCGGGGCGGCTCTAGGCTTCTTCAGCGCTTCCTGCGGGTTTCTGTAGTGCCCAGATCTGTTGCAGAGCTTACAGCCTTGCACAAACCATTTCTGTCACAGAAACACAAAACATCCCCCATTTCTTCTTCTCTCGCTCTATCTGTTAATTCCCTGGCAGGGAAATCACACCGTGGCACTCTGCAGCAAAAAGCACAGCAGCTACAGGACGAGAAGCATCTCTAATTCCACTAGGAGCTTCACAGAAGCCGAGTCCTAGTTCCTTTTTTCATCTTCGTCTCTTCTGTACCAGCTTCTCAAGACACAGCAGGGACAAAAGGAATGGAATTCTGTAGAAAGTGTTTGTCAACTTTCTCCTTGTCTCCCTCACCATAACGACATGTAATTAGCTACCTTGAACTTTAGAAGTTGCCTGTGAAAAATATTCCTGTAACTGAGAGCAACCACCTTCCATTAAGTTACACACAGTCAGCAAATGACTGTGATTATTAGGGCCAGCAGACAGAGCTGAAACTCAGAGGACTTTAGTGTCAGAGCTAATAATTATGCAGCAGCCTTGGCCAAATATTTCTCTTCCAGGCTTAGTATTTAATATTGTCACTGTAGAATATTAATGGAATTGCCGGCTGTGTGTGAAGCTGTTGACTAAGCTCATTGTACAGTGAACTGCAGTGGCTCAAATTAGCCACAGTGAGTGGAGAGATCAAGAAAACTGCAGCAGGCTGCAGCACCAGCGGACCTTCTTAAACACTGCTGCCTTCGGGGCATGAACACAAGTTCTGGGGACAGAGTGAAGGTCAAGACAGTGTCGTGCTTCAAGAATTCAGAAAATCATTTGCTTTGCCTGTTGAAGGGATACTACTTCTTTAAGTATTGATTAGATATCCCTGGGAAGCACATATGAATATATTTCTTATCCTCATTAAGTAGATTGGCTGGTTCAGAAAACATCTCCTTTGGTTTCACTTGGACAAAACAGCCATGCTATATAAATAAGGAATTAAAGTTGTTGCAGAGTGTTGGCACGTTGAAATCTTCCCAGATGGGGGAAGAATCTTCTGGGTGTAGTCTGGACGTTGACCAAGCTTCAAGGTCGTCGTCTTCAGCCAGCAGTGTTTTCCAGAGGCTTTGAGGGCTTTCTTAAAGCTCACTATGTTTTCACCGGGCAGGGATTTCTACTGAACTGTCAGAGCACGGTGATAACCACAAGGAAGAGTAGCAGTTTGTTTTGGTTTCTGGCACTTGAAGAGGCTCATGAATTCTCTGTTTTGTGTAACACCTGACCCGTAGCAGAGAGATGGCCTCCCTTTTACACCACGCTACCCGACCTACGCCCGGCTCTTGGCTGGCAGTCCCGTTTAACTGCCGTGGTTGCTATGGCTGGAATAGCGTCTGTCAGTTTGTGTGCTGTGTGCTCTTCTCCGGGTGCTTGCATTTTGGGTTCTGTTCTTTTCCCTAAAGAATGCAAAATTGAACTGCTTAGCCACCGGGCTTGATAGCACTTGTGCTAAATCGAGGCTTGCTGCATGGCTCTGAGCGGGGAGTTACAGAATTTCAGACTAAGTCAAGGTGGGGAGGGCATTTGGGAGAGAGTGGACTTTAAAAATTTGGGTTAAGCCTTTCTTTGTTTTCTTTTTCTCTTTGCCTTCATTTTTATCCATATAACCAAGAGTGAGCCTGTATCTCTGCTGTTCCCCAGGTGTGGATGTGTGGGGGTCGCATGGAGGACATCCCCTGCTCCAGAGTGGGACATATCTACAGGAAGTACGTTCCCTACAAGGTTCCAACAGGAGTCAGCCTGGCGAGAGTAAGTGGCAGTGGCATTCCCCAGGACAGACATCGGGACTGCAACGTGACCGCTCTGTTCTCCCCTCCCACCCCACACTGGGAGGCAAACGTAGGCTTTGTAGTCTGTAAGCTGTGCTTGTACAGTGGCCAGACTGGGCAGTTTTGCAGCGGTGGATGCGCAGGACAAAGGGAGCCGCAGGCGCCTGCGCGGACAGTGCCGCGCTCAGCCATCAGCCATTGCTGGGTGTTGGGAAGGGGCTTTGCCATCAGGCGCTGGCTGGGGAACTACCAGTAAAAACGAGATAGGGCTCTATTTGTATAATGCTTCAGTCATTTTACAGCTGTGCTCTCCGTGAGCAGCAGGCTTCAGCGTGGTGACTGTGTTTTGGTGATTGAGAGACCTCTCAGCTGCAGGCATCACAGACCACTGAGTGGGCAAGCTGTAATTTTCCATGATGGAACGTTCAGTGCCATCCTATTTCTTAATCTAGTGTAGCCCAAAGAGGGGAGAGCTTTTGCCTATCGCACACCCTTTCTCCAGTGAATCCCGAATTGAGACGGGACCGCACTGCCCTCTGGAGGGAGAAGATGCTGTAGGAGCAGGAAGGCTGCAAAACTAGAACACAAGAAGGAACCCCGCCGTTCTGCAGTCTTACGGCTTGCACGGTGATAAAATGTTTCCCAGTTTAATAGCGTGGACCCAGTTATAGATGTGGGTTTATTCCTCAGCCCAGCAAGGACCCGTCAGCGCGACAGCGCTCTCCTGTCTGTGCCATCTCTTCAGGAAGGAGCTGTATTGCTTTTGATTCAGTATTTGGCTCTTGCACACTCCCACGGTGCTGGAAGGGGGCGGCGGACAGGTATGGGAAAGGCTGTTCCTTGGCATCTAAGGCGGTACAGTCACCTCGAGATGAACGCCCGCTCTGGTTGTGCGCAGGCTGCGACGGGGCAGGGTCGGCGCGCTGCGCGTGCTTGACGTCCTGTTGTTCCCACGCTGCTGGACTGGCCACCTCTGTGCAGGGTGGGCAGCGCTCCTGCATCCCCAGGGTCATGGCTGCACATGGCACGTTGCCGTATGGCACTGAGAACTTACCCCTGTCGCCAGGGAATGGCCCAAGGGTCTCTGGAACGTCTTGTGCCAAGAGAGGGGGGTGTTCCTCGCTGTCTTGGAACTGCACAGTGGGTTAAGCTTTACAGCGATGGGTGAAACATACTGCTGCCAGCAAGTAAACCCTTTGCTTCTGTTCTGAAGGGTCATCGCCTGAAAGCTCCGTGTTCCTGCGGTGTCTCAGAGTTTCTCTTAAACAGCTTTTTCCCCAAGAAAATGGCAAAATAGTGGTAAGAAAGAATATAGTGAACCAAAGCGTTCCAGAAGAGAGTACTGCAAATCCCATTCCCAGATGGATATAAAAGATGCAATAAGAAGGATTTAAGAAAGCAGCTTTTTGTCAGGGACCTTTGAATGTCTGGTGGTACTTCACAGCATCATTTTCTGACTAGCTTCTTTACAGAAAAAAAAGGAAAAAACCCAACTTTTGATTAATGTTTTTTTTCTTAGCCACAAGGAACTAGATATAATGGCCAAGTGCCAGGTTTCTGCTTTGACCTCTGAAAATACCTTTCTAAAAGTCCCTTAGAACTACAGAATAATAAAAATAATCTTCGTCCTGAAGCTGGAGAGAGAGAGTGAATGTGAATGAAAATCCCTTCTGAGCAAAACCACAGGAGATGTGCTGAATGCTGATGTCAGTGGGCTGTGCAGAGTGTTCTCAGGTGGTTTTCCCTCTCATTTTCACACCCGGCTGTTACCCCCACAGAACCTGAAGCGGGTGGCTGAGGTGTGGATGGACGAATACGCAGAGTACATATACCAGCGGAGACCGGAGTACCGGCATCTTTCTGCAGGGGACGTCGCAGCTCAGAAGGAGCTTCGCAACAACCTCAACTGCAAAAGCTTCAAGTGGTTCATGAACGAGGTCGCGTGGGACTTGCCCAAGTTTTACCCACCAGTGGAGCCTCCAGCAGCTGCCTGGGGAGAGGCAAGTTTGTGCTCTGGCATCTGCAGTGGGCTAGCAGGCTGTGATTTGGGGGTTTTAAATAGTCTGACTGTGCCCCAGTACTGACTTGCTGTGAGTAAGGTGGCGAGCGAGTGTGTAAAGATCTGCTTGGTAACGTTCCGAGGAGCAGAGCTCCTCCACCGTTACATGGGCCCGATCAGAGAAGGCAGCGAGGCACGTTTGTAGCGCACAGCTACAAAGGGACTGGGGACTTGGCTTGTTCTGCATGCTGCGGATCCAGCAGAAGGCAGAACATGCCAACAGGGAGGACGGGGGAGAGGCGGCAGCTTTCCAAAGACAAGATTTCTACACTGCTCCTTAGCTTTCCCATCTGAAAGCCAGGGAGACCATGCCTGGTTTGAAAGTTAGCTGTCTTCTGGGAAAAGAACTGCCCCAGGAGCGAAGCCATGGCTTGTTAACCCGGTGGGCTCTGCAGTCCTGTAGCTATGGGCTTGCTGTGTCCTGCGGGCGACGGCGTGTGCATTTGGCGACGGGTCCCATCTTGTGTCCCTCTGCTCCCTGCTAGCTGTTACTGCCAGCTCAGATACACAGTTAAGTGAGGAACCTGACAACCATCTTCAGACAAAGACTGCCACTGCTTGTGGCATTTTAAGCCTTCTTCCCTGTTGCTCGGCGAGAGTAGGAGGTTCAGTGACTCATTTCCTCTTTCAGATACGCAACGTAGGAACGGGACTGTGTGTGGATACTAAGCATGGAGCCCTGGGATCCCCACTGAGGCTGGAAAACTGTGTGAAGGACAGAGGAGAGGCAGCCTGGAACAACGTGCAGGTAAACAGTCTTTCCGAGAAATCATCAGCCCCTAAATAAATTTGGGGAGGGAGAAGTTATAAGAACAAACGTGTGAGAAGGAAGGCGATTGCAGAACTGTCAGGTGAACAGAGGGTGCTGGGCACCCCAAGGCTCATGTGCTAATTATACTTGGGCTTGTAGCAGGATGTGGCTTGTGCTTGTTGCAGGGTCTGGAGCCTGGCAGACTCTGTGCAGAGCTTTTGCCTCCACTTTGAAGTTCTCAGAGTGAACAAAAGAGTGCACAAGAAAACAATATGCCAAAATAATAAAAGAAACCAGTAACAAGGCAGCTGTAATATGTAACAAAGTGAATATTAACTTCAAAGGTTATGCTGAAAGAAGTGATAGAGGAGCATCATGCATATTAATGAACCTGCAGGAGCATTCAATAAGCGCTTACTATCATCCTTCTGGCAGGAGGAAAATGCATTATAAACACCCAACCATTGCTGGAGAGAGATGAAACTGGCCAGGCTATAGATTCACCCTCTCAACATATAAGGTGCCAGAAATGACAGCTTTATTGTAACAGAAGGGAAGGAAATATTAGTTTGTCTAAACTGTAGCAGCTGAGCTGAGAAAAGAGCAAGAAAACAATGCCTCTATTACAGAGCCATGCATAACTCTTCAGGGGAATGGCTTCAGGAGTAGGAGACAGAGGGCTGTTGCATATCAATTTTGATGCATGAAAACCAGAAACAAAGCCAATTTACTCGGGCACAGTCCAAAAACTAAGCTGTTGTGTTAGGAGGATCTTGAACAATTAGTGTTGGCTTATGTTTAGGAGGTGATTGTGTTCTCAACTTCTGTGTAGCACTGAGCTTAATGATTGTGGTCATTTCTCTCCCCAGAGAGGTTTGAAAGAGAGACAAACAAAGCAGCTTCTTGGGCAAAAGTTTTTGGCCACGCTGCTTCAGACAGTAGCACCCCGCTCATTACTGGTCTTTCTTACGGCCCCACGAGATCTGTCTGAAGAGAGGACCATTCCTCCACCGGGCTCCAGAAGGACCCAGAACAGCCCTTGCCCTCGGGGACTGGGAGGGAGGTGTGCTGGCTGGTAGCCCTGCGTTGGCTAGTGCTGGTGACGGAGGACACTCGCACCCTTGTCAGAGATGCTGTCCTTGTCAAAGCAGGAAGCGAACGCTCGGCAGTAGTGCCTGCCTTTAAACAAGTTTATCTTTAGTGGGATTCGGTCCTGTAAGGTTTAAAACATGTCATAAGCCCTGTCAGACAGAGCAGAGATGCAGCTTGACCACACTACTGTTTCAAGCCGTGGCCAAAACCAAATGCCACCGGGGCAGAGCAAGGAATGGAGCACGCGTGTGGTGGACGGTTCTCCCGTCGTCCAGTCCCTCTGGCTCAGGGGTTTCCAGGCCGCGTGTGCTGGCATCCAGCAACTTTCATCAAGGCCACAGCATTGCCAGGCGTTGATAGTTGTGCCTAGGTACTAGAGCTAAGCCCCTTCCTTCAGCTGTATCCCTCCTTCCAGCCGAAAGCGCCAGGAGATCGTGACGGCCAGCAGGAGAGGCAGCAGGAAGCTTTGCCCCAGCGTCTGTCTTCCCGGCACTCCCGTGGAGTGGGCTGGGATGGGGAGCTGTGAGCCTCCTGGTCTCCTGTCCCAGAAGGTGTGGGTCAGGCTTCTGGAGGAGGCTGCGGCTGCCTCTGCAGACGCGGGTGTTCACGGCCAGCTGTACCTCGCAGCTCTCTGCCTGGCTTGCTAGCTGCGGAGTGCTGTAATCGCTCAGCTGCTCACTTAGTCGTGATGGATGTCTGCACGGCAGAGGCCTTCGAGGCTGCCGTTAGTACCCGGGCTAACGAGCGAGGCTGTTGGCAGCCACGCCGTCTCACCCAGCCTGCCGGCTGTCAGCAGTCCCTGTCCCCAGGAGCGGGGAGGAGCTTTTCTCTAGAAGGTTCTGTCCTTTCCCTGAAGCCATCCCCACCCTGTGGGTAAAGAAGGGAATGTCATACCCAGTGCCAGCCATCCCAAGGGTCTCGTTTGTCCTGGCAGGTATTCACCTTCAGCTGGAGAGAAGACATCCGTCCCGGGGATCCTCAGCATACCAAGAAGTTTTGTTTCGATGCCATTTCCCACAGCAGCCCTGTAACGCTCTACGACTGTCACGGAATGAAGGGGAACCAGCTCTGGAGATACCGAAAAGTGAGTCTGTGTGCGTGCGCATGTATGCGCATTCTCATTTAAGGTGTCAGATTGCCTGTAGGCACTTAGTGCCGTTAATTACCCTTGATTAGAAAGATTCCGCTGTTGCAGGCTTAGAAGTGGTGAGGCTGCGTCTCCAGGCCTCGCTCAGCAGGACGTTCTCCCTGCAGTCCCCCCCGCAGCTGGCAGTGGGGGGATGCAACACCCCTGCAAACCCGGTTTGCAAAGAGGCTGCTGTGTTTAGTGCTTTGTTGTGGATACTTCAATCTTGCCAGAAGTAGAGAGGGATTTATGCATCCTGCTACGCTTAGAGAAGAAAGTTCTTGACTAAATGCCCTTTCCTCGTCCTTGCCGTCTGCAGGCAGAGTGCCTGCAGTGGGATGTGAGCCCGTCGGCTGGAGGACCTGGCGTCAGACACGGCTCTAGAGCTTCCCGCTGCAGATGTGAGGTGGGCTGGGTAGCGTTGCAAGGGATGGGGCTGCACCCTGACACGTGCCAACCAGTGGGGTGTGGAACAACTTCCTCAGATGCAGCCGAGTGACAGAATAGCTTGCCGTGGTTTTTAGGGCTCCTTTCTGGTTTTCAAACAGTTTTGCTTCTCTGCTTAGCAACCTCACATGAAATTTCTCTTCCCCAGGACAAGACCCTCTACCACCCAGTAAGCAGCAGCTGTATGGACTGCAGTGAGAGTGACCGGAAGATCTTTATGAGTAGCTGCAACCCCTCATCTCCAACACAGCAGTGGATTTTTGAACATACAAACTCAACCGTCTTGGAAAAATTCAACAGAAATCTTGATCTTTAAGAGACTGAGAAAATATATATATATTTTACAATTATAGTTTTTACTGGGGAGGGTTACACAAAATTTTTTTAAGAATACTTTTTTTTAAACAGTTAATGAAGGTAAAAGGGAGAATCTCAGGAGAAGGTTAACTAGCAGGCCAGTCTTTGTTACGGAGATGCTGCGTCCTTCTCTTCTGGGGATGGTGGAATTTTAAAGGCTTTGCCAGAGCCACTTCTGTGCTGAGACTGAACAGAAACTCTGTTTTTAGAGGAGTCTGAATGTGATTCAAACTGCTTTTTTGTTTTGTTTTATTTCCCACCTGGGTCTGATGTTAAATGATTTTGTTATCCGGGACCCTCCGGGACATTTTGTAGCTGCTATTACTACCCGCTGAGGCATTCCCACGTCGGTCCATCTGAGTAAAATCTTGAACACAAGATTTAATCCACCGGGATCATAGACATAAAAAAAAAAAAAGTCCATCAAAATGTAAAGTGAAATTAATATATTTTTGTCCTAAACCAAAATATATTTCAAAGGGGTTGAGTATTATTACTTTCCAAATCATAGCTCTGATAAAGCAACGAGCTGTAGTGGAAGTGCAGCCAGGTGTTGGGAATATCGCTGTAGTTATTAGCGACGAGGAGTCTGGGTTTCTGGTCCAATCACTTTGCAGTCAGTTTGTCACTCACTGTTGAATCTTCAAGGTGAAAGATTAGCAGAGGGTTTCAGTCAGCAGAGTTCTTACGGGGGAAGATTTTTGCTAAGAGCCTTTGGATATCAGGTTCCTCATTTGCCTCTTACTCAGAAGCTTTTTAGCACGGACACTCGGGTTTCTTAAAGTTAAACCTCTACATTCAGACAATTTCTATTTCTTTAGATGTTTGATGGCTAACTTAATTCACAGTTGGTGGGAGCAGATTAATTCAGGATCATTAAGTCAGGGCTGAAATTAGCCATTGGTCTTTATCCATGTGTTCTTCGGTCTGTGGTTTGTTCAGTCATGAGTTCCGTGGTCAGTAGTGTTCTAGCCTTGTGGGAATGTGCTATTAATCTCCTCCTTTCCCAACATCCACAGCACTGTACAGTTTTCTGTGACTGGAAATCTGCTTGCTTAAGCAGAGGTGTGGGACATGGGCCAGTTTCACTAGTCCCTTGTGCAGTCAGTTAGTGCAAGGTATTACCCGTCTGGTCTGGCTGCAGGATCTGCCAGACACTGAACCAGAACTGTCTCATCCCAGGAGCTGGAAAAAAGTACTAAAGGATGAATGGATCACCACTGGTTTCAAGTCTGTCTGAAGGAAGTGTTTTAAAAAAACCCACACTGGTTTAAAACTAAGTTGTTGCAAAAAGATTTTATAGCTCAGCCCACTTGTCTTCTACTGAAGGCAGCAGTGGCATTTTCCAGCAAAAGCAGTGAATGACGGTGCCGTTAACCTTGCACAAGGGTGCTGTGTAAATCCCTAAAACCAGCCCAGCTCCGCGGTTAGTCCCGCCGAGGAGGTGGTGTGCCGCCAGCTCTGAGTGAAAGGCTGGGGCACCCCTCCAGGGCTCTTGGTAAGCAGGGGTAATGGGATTCCCGCCTTGGGGGGCAGGAAGCTCTGCTCGGGGGTATCCTTCTCCCCTGTGAAGGCAAGGAGACTTTTGCCCAGTGTCAGGAAACGAGTGGGCTGGCTCCCTCTGCGCGGCTCCCGAGGGGAGAAGCCCTTTCTGATGTTGCCAGCTGTAGGATCTTTGCCCACGTTTCGCCGCTCTTGGAGGCCGTGTAGCGCTGTCTGTCAGCTGGGAGCAGGCTAGGACACAGCTAGCTCCTCTCAGGTCTGGCTATTGACTGTGAGGCTCAGAATCCTGTCCACCCCTCGTCCTCGCAGCTGAGGCCGTGCCTGGCCTGTTCTGCCAGCGTGCCTGGCCCGTGCGTCACGAAGCGAGGGAAACACGGGCGCTGCGTTGCAGCTAGGACCGGGCTTGCCAAAGGCGTTGCTGTCTAACATTTTGGGGATGAAGGAGGGAGAAAAGCTCTAGGCTTTCCTTGTGACAGTTTGGCAGCAGCGTCACTACGAGACCAGTGTAGAGCTGACCTCAGTAGTAGCTACGATGTGTCTGTCCTTAGGATCCCTTTTCATTTCTCTGGGAGACAGAGCCACTGTCCGGTGCTTTGTGTTCGTTACTTTCCTTAAGTTATTAATGCTCTCATCAGTCGAGGAGTGCTGACTGTGGATCACGACGTGGCCTGCCTAGATGTCTTTGTGAATGCTTTAATGCCTGTGGGAGAGGCAGCTGTTTGTCCACGAACAGTGCTAGGTTTTTTATGACAGGGACACAATCAGCAAATGATATAAACGGACTGTAGGTCGTTCTGCTTGCAGCTTGCAGCGTTGTGTGTCTTAGTTTTCTAACGAGAGGGTTAGCTCCTGTTTCTGAAGTGCTTGGCTGGCTTTGTCCTTGGGCTCACCTCGTGGAGAGAGGCCTAGCTGCTCGCCTTGCTGAGCCTCGCCTCAGAGCTGCAGTACCGAGCGGGGCTTCTGCCACTTCGGTCTCAGTTTGGAGAGGAAGGACAGCTCTCAGCACTGCGCACAGAAGGGGAGGTGACCGCGGAGGCAATTCCCGTTGGACAGCCCCACCACCCGTACGTGGAAACTGGAGCCTTCGCGTGAGTCCTGCGGGGTCTTACTCGGGATGGCTGGTCTGACCTGTTTTCTGAAGGTTTGGGAGCCGAGTGTGAGAAGTGCCCCCCAGATTCTCTGCGCTTCTGCCTGGCTCGCTGGGCTTTCAGCTATTAATTTATTTACATCAATTATAGGTTTCAATACCCTAGAGGCTTTGCTGACTAATGAGAAGACTTAATATAGCCAACCATCCGCTGATTGAGAAAGAGAAGCTGTATTTCATCATCTACATCTTTAATTGGGCCTTTGCTGGGCAATCTGGTTAATTACTCCAATTACTTTGGGTTATTTGTAAGCAAAATTGCTAATGCATGAATACATAAGCAAATCTTCACATCTGCATGCAAGTCAAGACTGGAGATAAAATACCAGTGATTATCTAATGCAAAATAAATGTTTTCATATTTTTCCCCAAAAATATTCAAGCAACCCTTCTCTCCGAGGCTGCATAAATTAAGTATCAGAATCCCAGACAAGAGGGGCACCCCTGGGTGTGTGTAATGTCGCATAATGCTGCTTTGATTTGCTCTCGAAGCTCTTGCTGATTTACACTGGTGCTAATCGCTGAGGCCTGCGAACAGAGCGATGGCCTGGGCCTCTGACACCTGCAGATGGCTTTTTTCATGCCCGGGAGATCGAGGGCCTCACTGAAAGGGGAACAGGGCGTCGTTAAAATAAAGATGTGCCTTTCTACCTGTACAGCAAATGCTTAAACTTGAACAATTCCCTAGTGCCTTGCTGGACAAGAGAGGAGAGGGGAAGGGCTGGGAGGAAGGATCCAAGAGCAAGCTTGACTCCTGCAGCGTGTGTTTTAAAGGGACTGACATGTAGTGCAAAATCTGCGTGAACCACAGTAATTCAGAAGCTCCTGGGTTTCCTCTGTTACATCGGTATCTTCATGCCTCGGGGGGGCTTGTCAGTCCTAGAAAGACGGGGAGAGGATGGCAGCTGCCTCTTGGGACACCGTAACCACCAAAGCTGGCCCGGAGGATGCTTGGTGAGCTGGCGGATGTTCACCCCACGGCGAAGGCTCGCGCATGCAACATCCTGCATTTTGTTTTCTGAGTGCCCAACTCAGAAATCTCAGATACTCCCAAAGGCATGTAAAATCCGTAGCAGAAGTGTCTGCTGCTTTCCATCCCTGGGAAAGCTGCAAAGGGTGTGTTCACATCTCTGGTACAGAAGTAGCAGGAAAGCAGCTTCTCAGCTTAACTCTCTTCCGGCTGGTTTTCCGGCAGCCTGCGCGGGGCCTTGC